CCTCCCTCCCTGCCAACTCAGAGCAGGTCATGCTTAGGTCAGGCTGACTCATGGCTGACCTAAGCATGACCTGCCCTCAGTCAGCCCCCCTTATGGTCCAGGTGGGAGAAAGGCCAGCAGGCTGGAAGATCTACCCCAGGGGCCAGAGCAGGCCAGGTGAACAAGTCCTCACCCAACCCCAAACAGGAAGCAACTGGCTAAGGAGTCCTGGAAATGATCCACTAAAGTGGGCCATACTGGAGAACAACCCAAGGGAGTGGGCAGGCTTCTGTCACCTCGGAGTTGGCCTAAGAGATGCTTCTCAGGTGGCTGTGAAATTGGCAGGTTGGCTTAGAGACAATCATGTGCAGCGTCTCCAGCACGGCCCTGTGTATCCCGGCCAAATGGACCTGGTCCTTGTTGGCCTGTGTCCTCTGTGAGGGACACTCTCCCTTCCTACCCATCTCTAAGGTTCTTCTTCTAGGAGCCTGTTCTTGCCCTTGACACCCAGCCCACTCATGCCAACTGGGGCTCCTTACCTGCCAGGCTTTGAGGAGCACCTGTTGCGATGCCATCCTCCTGATCAGAGCTGAAAGCTGGTCCCGAGACAGCTGGCTGGCTGGCTGGCACCAGAAGCCTTGCAGGAGGGAGGTGTTGGCACTGAGCAGAAGGAGGCAGGAGGTGAGGAGTGGAGGTGGGGGTGGAGGTGGGGGCCGGAGGGGCAGCCCAGATGGCAGCAGACTGCAGCTCAGACTACAGCATGCAGGATGGAGGTCAGACTCCCAACACAGAAGGAATGAAGTGTGGCAGGCAGGGCCTTGACACAGGCAAGACTCCTGCTTCACTCCCTCCCTCCGTCTGCCTCCTGTAAGCACCCAGTGCAGGTTCTGAGCTATGAGCAGGGGTGGCCCCTGCATAGATGCTGGGTCTTTGCTTCCTCACAAGGCTGGTCCCAGAGATGGCTGACGGTTTGGAGGAGATGTAGCTTGGGCACCTGCTGGGCCACCGCAGCCAGTTCCATCTCCCCATCTAGCCTTCCTCATGATGTGAGTCTAAAATTTGTGCACGAGGAGGGGGTCTCTTGGGGCTTTAACCTGGGCTCAACTGGTCCAACTTAGGCCTCCAGCCTTGCCTGGTCAGTCAACTGATTGATCAATTGATGGCTGATCAGTGATCTCCAACTCCCCAGGGAAGGAGAAGACAGCTGAGCTTAAGCACAGACAGTGCATGGAAACGATGCACGGTCTGTTTGGGGCCTGAGAGGTGGCAAAGCCTTGGGGTAGAAGGAAGGAAGTATGAAGATGCAGGATGAGCAGTGATTGCCTGCCAGGCCAAGGGGAGCAGTGCAAGCAGTAGGGGGGCTCAGGAGGGACCCTAGGCCCAGCGCCTGTGATAGCCTGGGCACCTGCTGTCAGCCATGTGGACATGACTCTGATGCAGGACGCTGAACTCTGGGCCATCTCAGGGCGAGGTGGGTGAGTGACCTGGGCAGGCAGGGCCAGGCCCTGGTTCAGAGCCAGGAGTCAGTGGCCCTGCCACAGCCATGCCTGAGCCATCGTGTGCAGACCCTGGAGGTAGCCCCTCCTTTTCACCCACCCCCTCCGAGGCCCGCCAGGGAGTCAGCTGCAGGAAACATGGTTTGTGGACTCAGAGCCTACAGGAGGGGCTGGCACTCACCTGGCCCACAGGATGGCCCTGCTGGCATCTAGCCCTTCCTGGGAGAAGCCTTCGGCCTGGGGATGAGAGCAGTGGGTAGTGAGCCACACGAAGAGGATGAGACCTGGGCTCACCAGGGCACCTGGAACAGAATAGGCCGTAAGCAGCCACTGGCCCCTTGGGAGGCTGAGCCCTGCCTGAGGGGAGCACGTGTGGGAGCATCCGCAGCGGGTCTGCCCAGGGATCCTGTGTCCCGGGGGATCTGTGACTACCCCAACATGGAGACCTTGGAAGCCATGTGGCCCTGGTCACCTGTGTGTAGCAGCCTAGGCCTCAGCGTGGTATGTGTGTCTGACCAGGTGAACCTGTGTGTGACAGTGTGTCTGACTGTATATGTGTCCGACACTGCATGTGTGTGTTCCTAATGGTATGCACATGTGATGCGCACATGTATACATGCCTGTGGTGTATACATGGCGTATACATGCCTGTGGTGCCGTGCATGCCCAATACAGTACGTACCTGGTGGCATGGCAGTGTACATGTGTGTGGTGATGTGTACCTATGTTTAGCTGGTGGCACGTACCTTTTTGTGTCTCTGGAATTATCTGCATACATACTTGATGACCTAGACATGTCCACCAATGTCCACACATGTGTGATGATATGTACGTGTGTGGACAGTGTGTACCAATGTGTACCTGTACTTTCTATCTCCCTGGCTCTGTCCTCATGGCCTGAGACCCAAGAGCCTCAAGCAGAGGGGCTGGGGTTGACCCCACCTCCTCCTGAGCCCCTTTTCGCCATGACCTCTCCTTGTCCCTGCCTTGTCCCCTCCAGGACCCCCAGGCCCAGTGCCCTGCCTGCCTTTCTCTTTCTCTTCCCTGAACCCCAGCCTGTCGTGGGGGCCTCCTGGGGCAGGACCCTTGACCTCAGGCTTGGGAGGACATGATGGCCAGTGAGAACATTCTCCACATCTGCCATCATGCAGCCCAAGGAGCCCCTTCCATGAGGGGAGTCATCATACCTGCTCGGGGGCCCATCGCTATGCAACGTGCATGGATCCTTCTGGCAGGAAGACGCTGGGGTCACGAGCAGCAGGTCTAGGACAAGCTGGAGAGGAGAAAGGAAGTGATGAGGCCCCCCACGATCTCCCCCAACCAGCCTTGGCCGAGGGGCACAGAGGAGGAGGGCCTTTGTACAGGGTCACATCCAGGGTCATGCAGGATGGGCGTTTTGCTGGGCAGGCCACCTGAGCCCGGCTACAGCTGCGTCTCTCTGTCTTCCGGGAAAGGCGTAACCCCACAAGCATCTTTGGAACAAAAGGGAGCTGCTCTAGGGGGAACCAGGCCTTATCGCAAGTTGGGGCTCAGGGGACCCACAGGCTGTGGCTTGGGCTGTAGTGTCCCCAGTGAACAGATCTCTTGACAGTTACAGGGGAGGGGGCAGCAGTCCCAGAGTCCCCACATGTAGCTGGGGGATAGACCTGGTGGCTTCCCAACCTGCCCTGGCATCACCCCCACATCTGGGCTGTCCAGGCAGCTCTACCCTTTTGTGGGCCTAAGGCCTGGCCACAGACACAACCCACAGTGCAGCTCCCACCCCTCCCAGCACAGCCCGGGCTATGGTGGAGACCAAAGCTATGAGGCTTGGGGATGCAGGTCCTGGGAGGTGAGGGGCATTTGGGAGTCTGGCCCACACTGCCCACTCCTGGGCACAGCCTTGCACAGTCTCACAGCCTGGAATGCCTGTGGGCCTCCGGATTCCACATGGACCAGGAGCAAGACAGGGAGGTTACTATCCCATGCAGGGGGCAAACGGAAGCTCAGAGGGACTCAGCTACCTACCCAGGGCTGCAGATACCAGACTAGAAGCCTGGTCCTGTGGGTTCAGCTGGTTATGGCCCCCACCCTGGATCCTGGCCCTCACCTGAGCACAAAGATCTTCTGTGTTAGACGGTGGTGCTCTGGGACCAGGTGGCGGCTGTTGGATGCAGAGAGTTGTAACCAGGTGCCAGACACTGCAGACATCAGCGGTCCCAGCTCACTAAGCATGTCAGTCCTTGCAGCTGAGGCCCGGGGCACAGGGGTCATGCAGGGTTGGAGCGCCAGGGTCCCTGCTCATCTCCATGCCTCACCCAGCCTGTGCAGCGACCTACTTCTGCAGTGACGCTCACCAGGCTGATGTGTAGGGGAGAGGCTGCAGCTGTGCCAGGTGGCGCTGCTACGGTAGTCCCTGGGGCCCCAGCACAGCAGCACCTGCTCCTCAGCCTCAAGAGAGTGAGGTGTTGAGTGCATGGTTGGCGGCTACGCAGCGTAACCCCTTGCCACTGAGGGGTCGTGCCTCAAGGGTTGTGCCTGTGTTCACATATGCACCTCTGCCTTCATTGTGCGTTGGTGTCTGCATGTGCACACAGGTGCCTGTACTTGTGTGCCTGGGAGCACACACATCTTTGTGCATGTGTGTACCCTGCAGGGACATTAGGCACATGTGGACTCACCGTGGTGCTTAGGTTTAGTGACCTGTATGGTGGGATTTCTGTTCTGTGGGTGCTAGAGCAGAGCAGAGCATGTAGCCATACACCTGTGTACCAGGGCCAGGGAGGGCATGTGGGCACCAGGTGGGCAGCCTTGATGGTGGAGAGTGTGCCACACATGCCCAGGGGCCAATCCATCAAGCAGGTCTCTAACGCTGAGCAGGAGGAGTGAATACAGGAGGGACTTTCCGACCTGCCTATAGCCCAGGATCAGCTGCCTGATGACTGCCATCTGCATTACAGGGCCACCTGTGCCCAACAAACCAGCCTCATGGCCAAGAAGAGGCACTGACCTGAGCCTGGGAGCCGACAGCTGGAGGGATCAGTTGTGGATCGCTCTTGGCTTCCGCGCAGGCCCCATGGGGGCCCAGGTTTTGGCTGAGGACTTGCTAGGGCTCTATACACTGAGGGATTTTGGGGGAGTGGGATGTCACCTGGTATGGGGGTTTCCACCCATCCCAGGGCTGGAGACTCCCACAGTTCAGAGAGGGTGGGAACAGGAAGCAGCCAGCAAGTGCAGGAGGCCACATGCTGGCCTGCCCACTACAGCTAAGCCTCCAGGGCAGCCCCAAATGACTGCAGCAACAGTGCAATTGCTGGGCTGTAGTGTCACATCCTTTCCTGACTCTTCCATGCACTGCCTCCCTCAGAGTTGGCCTTGGCTCATGGCACAGCTTCAGTGCCTCTTTCGCAGATGAAGAAACTCAGCACAGAGAGGCTGAGCAACTTGCCTGTGGCCACAAAGCAGTAAGTGGGGAGCATGATCAGACCCCGCAGCCAGGCTGGAAGCCTGTGTGTGGGCTGTAGGGGGGCCTGGGGGCAAGGGCAGAGGGTGGAGGGGGAAAGGCGGGGCAGGCCTCAGCAAGGTGATGTGTCCTGAGGTAGAAGGCTCAGCAAGTGTGAAAACTGGAAAAAGCAGGGTGTGCTGGATGGGGACTGGTGATGCTATCACATCGCACCCCTGGTCATACTGGGCATATTACATTAACCATCTGACTGTCTAGGTTATCACTATGAGCATAATGGGGGGCCCTCTGGTTTGCTCCAGCCCCTCCTGTTACAGATGAGGAAACAGATGCAGGGGGCAGGGGCTGGGACCTGGGTCTCTGCAGAGGCCGTATGGTGGCTGCTTCTGGTTCCATCCCAGCTGAGTTCCTGATATGGTCACAGGTAGGTCTAGCCCAGGAAACCCACAATAGGACCTGTCTCTGTCAACTGGAGAGGGGTCTGGCTCAGCTGGGTGACCTCAGGCTGGCTGGTGGCCCAGGCAACAGCCCTCCCATGGCATTCTGACATGGTGGAGGGTGCTAAGGCCAGTACGATGGTGGTCAGGGGTAGTGGATCTATGAGGAATGCTGGAAAGACTAGATGGATACTCTCAACGTTTTTGGTTGGAAGGGCTGGGGATCCTCCAGCTTCTCCCCAACTAGGACAGGAGGATGCTCACCGCATGGGGGTACAGGTCAGCAGCCAGGACCTCGAAGTCAGCCCTAGGTCCTGCAGGGGGCCTTGGGACAGAGGTTTGCCTGGTACAGGGAAGGGTTCAGGAGTCTGGGCTCCCCTTGTAACTCCCCCATCAGAATTAGTCATGGCTGTTCACAGGGTTAATCACTGAGCCTTTATTCTAAATCCTGGAGCCCAATTGCAGCTGGAATGATGTAGGAGTGCTGTAGGGGAAGAGGCGGCAGGAGCCGGGCTGCCCTCGCTCCTAGGCTAAGGTCTGACAACCTGTGGCTGTGTGGGGAGGACCCCACAGAGCAGCACTTATGTCAGGCCAGAAAAAACGGCCCAGGCCCACCCCCTTGTGTGATGAGTAGGATGTGGGTGGAGGCAGGAGACCCATGGGCAAAGTTCTGCAGAAGCCAAGGCACAAGGCAGGACTGGCGAGGTGGGGGACCAGTCAGGATTTGCAGGAGGGCTCAGCCAAGCTGGGGTGATGGCACAGAAAGTCCAAGCAGAGTAAGGAGCAGGGCGCTCTGGGGGATAGACTAGGTGCCCAGGAGGAGCCCACCCAAGCAAGGGCTGGCCCAGGTCCTTTTCCAGGGCAACCCCTGGGCAAGTCTACAAAATGGGCCCTGGGCGTGAAGCTCTGGATTGAGAAAGGTGCTCTGGGAGGATAGGCAGGCCTTGCTTTCCCGGGGGTGGGGCTGGTCCCACCACCTGAGCCCTTCATCCTCCTTAACCATGGCTGCCTGGCTCCCCCTGCTGGCCACTGGTCCCTCTTCAGGTTTGGTTGCTACAGTTGGGGTGGAGCTTCAGTCCTCTGCGGCTGGGACACCTCCTCCTTAGGATGGGCTTAGGGTTTTGACCCGCAGCCCCTATCCACCTGGAGGTTCCAGTCTGCACCCCAACACTAGGCCCACACTCTCAGTTGTCCGGCTCCAGTGTCCACTCTGACAGCCACTGAAGATATGAGGCCCGCTGAGTCTCTGTCTCAGCGGCACTGGCAGGGGGTGGTGGGGGCCGGCCTGGCCCAGGCAGGTGCGTGGAAGTACTGCAGGGCCCCGGGTCCCCTTCTGTGGGTTTAGGGTCATGGGCAGCTCGCAGGACCTGGACAAGATGGTCCAGTGGCTGTACCAGGGTGTGGGGGCTCCAGCAGGCATCAAGGGTGGGCACGAAGGGGTCCGGCGTACAGGCTTCCACGCACTCGGCCTGCGTGGGGATCCGCAGGTAGAAGGCGTGCAACATCATGCGGAACGGTTGGTCTTCCCGGCCCGAGGCCTGCCCGTAGGTTAGGTCCCCCACAATGGGGTGGCCGAGGGCACTGCAGTGCACACGCAGCTGGTGTGTTCGGCCTGTGTGGGGAGAGAGGGCCAGTGAGAAGGGGGTGCCACTCCATGATCACCACCCACTGCTCATGTCACACCCAGCACTGTCTCCAGCTGCTAACTCAGTGCCTCATGCAATGTCTGGGGACAACAACCCTCCCTGTTTCCTGCTATGGATGAGAACAAAAGAACTCAGAATGGAAATCAACTTCTGGGGTCACCTCTGGTAAGGGCAGGGCCAGGGTGGCACTCAGTACGCTGGAGAACTCAGGCCAGCCTTCCCACTGCCTTCACACCCAAACCAGCAAGACCAATTATAGGGCAAGAGCTACAGGTTGAGGGTTAAGTGTGCGGGAGAGGATCAGCTTTGCCAGGGATGGCTGGGGTGGCCCCAGTCAGGCTACTCTGCCTCTGTGCCTCAGTTTCCTTTTCTATACAACAAGGCCACTGCAGTGCACTGTTTGAGGACATGCTGATACCAGGAATCGACCATGCTGGGGGCAGGACACTATAGGTGGTCAATGAGGAGCCTGGGAAGCTTCCTGGCCCCTGTTCTTGAACGTACCCGTGAGGGGCTGCAGCAGCACTTTGGAGACGGGGTCACCTGCATAGAGCCCGTGTTCTAGAACCACCAGCTCCGTGAGGCTTGGTTTCGGGTTCTCACAGCCTGGGGGTGAGGAAAGGAGACAGTGAGGGTTGACAGGATCAGTCCTGGAGCCCCAGTCCACCTCAGCACATGGCCCCCTGGATGAAACATGTCCCGTGGCTCCTGCTCCCTTGCCCACTGTACCCTGGGTGCCCTCGATGCACATGGTGTGGGCCCGACCCTCTGTACTGTTCTTGCCGATGGCATAGCTGATGGTCATCCGGGTCTCCTGGACGTGCCCTCGAACCTGCAGGGCAGGGGAGCCCACCTGAAACTCAGGGCGTGCCAAAGTGGGCTGAGCACTGGAGTCCCCATGCCCCAGGCCTGGCTTGGCCTTACCAGAGCCAGGTAAGCCTTGGTGACACGCCGTTCCTTGAAGCACTTGTAAGCACTGCCTGCAGCTGCCTTGTTTAGGGCCACACAGAGTGCTCCACTGGTGGAGAAGTCCAGCTGGTGGCAGAACCTGGCATAGATCAAAGGGACAGAAGTGGCTAGGTTGGGGGCAGCGACTTCCCTCCAATGGAGGCTGTCTTGGGCTATCTGTGCTATACTCCTATGTACCTGAACCCATAGTAGGTGTCCGGGTCAGCCAGCTCAGGGAAGTGGTGCCGCAGTTGCTTCTGGAGGGTCAGGGTCTCCCTCCAAGTCTTGCTGTCGATGCGCACATCCCAGTGCTTGTTCACCACCAGGAAGTCACAGCTCTGGTACAGGATGGCCAGGTTCTCCATGCTGCCTGGCTCCATGGTGGGGGCCTGCCCAAGTGGGGTAGACAACCCTGCTCCCCAGGGCTCTGGGTCTGAAGCCACAGATGCTGTGTGTCAGGCAAGCACGTGCACCTACTATGTGTCTGCATCCACTGGGCTCCTTATAACTCTCACCCCTGAATTATGCAGGAGTGTCAGCTGGGGTAAGAGTGTGGCCAAGGTGAGGGGAGCTCCCAGAGTTGCTCCGACGTGGGGCAGTCCCGCAGTCCCAGCCAGACCCAGGCCTTGGGAGAAGCAGTCTCGCTCTCCAGCCCGCTCCCACCGACCCTTCCCAACAGATCAGGGGCCTTTTGCTGAGTGGGGAAGGGGTCAATGGGAGAGGCTGCTATATCCCCTCCCAGCCGGGGGCGACACGAGTTAGCCGCGTGCAAGGGGAATCCACCCTCGCCACCTCCCCACGCATTCGTTCCCTAGCTCCCCTCCGCAGAAGCCCCACCTCCTGCGTGTGACGGGCACAAGCCGAGGGGTTCCGGGCGGATCCCGGTTGCGAGCCCCTCCCGCGATCCCGCCCACTCTGGAACCGACCTGCGGTCGGGCCGCGCTGTCCGGGTCTCCGATGCCGCTGACCCGCCCTGGATCCAGCTCCCGCGTCCCCGCGTCCCTGCACCTCGCGACACACGACCCCGGGACTTGTCGTTCGGGCCACTGAGCCGCTTCTCTCCGGGTCCGGCCTGCCCGCAGAGCCCCGCCCACACCCGCCCACGCCCCCAGACGGGCGGCCGTGCGGGCCAATGGCGAGCCCCCGGGACCTGCCGTTCCGA